ATATGCCAGGCATAGCAGCAGCATAGTAAGAATGCCTGTTAGCTAGTCTCTACTCCCCAATCCTTAAAGAGTATTATCCAACTCAGAAGAATTCACTGGGAGAGATTCAAGCAGAGATTTAACCTTTCAGAAGGTTCAGACACTGCAAAAAGCATGGAAGAACAGAACAGAGAATTGGATTCGAGATTTGGGGATAACATAGCATGAATTCAACCTGGGAAAAGTTCACATCCCCTGTGACTTTTCTCTGATACTCTATTTCCTTGAAAGTCTCACTCCTTTTGATAAAATCAGGTAGTAAAAAATTGCCTACATTTTCAGTCAGGCATTAGATAAGGGTGACTGGATTACAAGTCAGGGACCTCAGTCCTAATTTCAGTTCCTCAGTACCTTGCCATGAAATTGGCCATGTCTCTCACACATTGCCTCAATCTGTAAAATAGGTGGGTGCATAATATTACCTGGCCTGTTTGCAACATAGCATTGTTGGGACAACCAAATAAAGTAATGCAAATAGAATACTTTCATAAGCCAGGAACACTCATTCAGATGCTGGTTGTTATTAATGTAATGAGGGTTCCTCCCATCCTGGACCATCAAAATCAAGAGCAGCCAGAAGGTCAAATAGATTCATAGGACAGAAAGACACTGAACCATCTTAAAGATGTCAAGGGCACACTTCCTTTGATGAGAGGATTATGAGTCACAAGTGAGACCATGATTTCTCCTATTACAACAGGTAACACCTGGGAGTCACCTTCCACTTCTGACTTTACTCATTCCCCTGGAACCAGCAGCCAGATCTCAAGCCAAAGGAATAGTGAGCCATGGGCTCCAGTTTTCCCAACTTCCAAATAACAATGTGAGTGCACAACTCTTTAGTGGAAATCATACCAAATCTATCATTTGTTGCTTAAACAATATACTGTAAATGATTTTCTTGACTATTTCCCTGCTAATCACCCACCTGAAGAACACAGAAAGTATAGATTAAACAAAAACTCTAGAGGAGGAATATACTCTGTACTTTTTTTTCCCCACATTTATTTATGACAATTTGCATGAAGACAGTCATGTTGAAACAATTTACCAGTGAACAGCTATCTGTTTAGCCATAATCAAAATTTTGAAGTTACATTTTAGTAAACTTGTTTTATTTTATATATATCCATCTACCTGTCTATCTACCCATTAATCTATCTGTTTTATGTGTTTCAAAGTAAATTTCCAGGGGCTTATTTTTAAAACTAAACCTCAGATTATGCAAACAATAAAGTTCATTTCTCATCTTCAATAAAGAATTGTGTAGCAGCTTCATCTTTAAGGGATTTTTATTGGAATTTTGCTATGTGAAGGGCATATAACATGGTTAATATTGTGCAAAATAAATTAACTCAGTATAAACCTTCTTGTGCAAACATTTATCCTTCATTATTTATAGAGTATTTCAATAGTTTTGAGTGCTTATCATGTGTCAGACTTGGACCAGTTGATGTGACCCAGAGATCTAGGAGACCAGGTTCTTGAAGCTTACAATCTAGTAGAAATAACTAACTAAATAAATAAATAAATAAATAAATAAATAAATGGAAGAAAAACCAAGATCATCACATCTGAAGAAAACAAAAGGGTGTTTTGAGAGTGATAAGCAGGGAGTAATCAAAATAAGGAGGGTCATGGAAAAGTGACCATAAGAAGAATATGAAAGAGTCTGCAATCAGATTCAAAGGAGCAGCGAAGGAGCATTGGCATCAGCCTAGTGCAAAGGCCCTAAGGCAGGAATAAGCTTCTGTTCAAATAACACAGCAGGAGGCCTGAATGACAGTGGAATAGTGTCCCAGTTTTTCCCTTAATATGACTTCAACTTCATTTCTTCAGTGTATTTTGCCTTGACTTTTCAGAGGCATTCAAAAATAATTTTCTAGATAAGCAACAAGGATAAATTGAAGAGCACAGGGAATTATGCCATTATCTGGTAATAATTTTAGTGGGGTATAAACTGTAAAAATGCTGGAGCATCATGATGTACACCTGAAATGAAAAATAATATTGTGAATCAATGATACTTCAATAAAAAATAATAAAAGTATTTTCTATTATTTGTACAAGCACAGTTTTCTCTGGGAAATCCTCCCAGATTTAACAGACTAGGTTACATCTCCTTTCATGAGTTCTGTGTCCTGTGTGCCTCACTTATACATTTTTGCCTGTGCAACCACTGAAAACTGAAAACTCCATGAGAGTAGTGACCACCCTGTATGTTGTTACCATTTTATCACCAGGCCCACTCCAGTGTTTGGCACTGACCAGGTATTCAATAATGTTTTAAAGAATAATTCATTGTTCTTCTCATAATAAGCATTCCAAAATTCCTTGTAATCGCTGCCTAGAATCCAGCTGTAATCCTGATGCTCTCTGTTCCATATGGAGATTCAGTTCAGTTCAGTCACTCAGTCGTCTCCGACTCTTGTGACCCCATGAACTGCAGCACACCAGGCCTCCCTGTCCATCACCAACTCCTGGAGTCTACCCAAACCCATGTCCATCAAGTCGGTGATGCCACCCAACCACCTCATCCGCTGTCATCCCCTTCTCCTCCTGCCCTCAAACTTTCCCAGCATCAGGGTCTTTTCAAATGAATCAGCTCTTCGCATCAGGTGGCCAAAGTATTGGAGTTTCAGCTTCAGCATCAGTCCCTCCATTGCAGACCCAGGACTGATCTCTCTTAGGATGGACTGGCTGGATTTCCTTGCAGTCCAAGGGACTCTCAAGAGTCTTCTCCAAGACTACAGTTCAAAAGAATCAATTCTTCGGCCCTCACCTTTCTTTATAGTCCAACTCTCACATCCATACATGACGACTGGAAAAACCATAGCCTTGACTAGACAGACTTTTGTTGGCAAAGTAATGTCTCTGCTTTTTAGTATGGTGTCTAGGTTGATCATAACTTTCCTTCCAAGAAGTAAGTGTATTTTAATTTCATGGCTGCAATTACAATCTGTTGTGATTTTGGAGCCCAGAAAAATAAAGTCATCCATCGTTTCCACTGTTTCCCCATCTATTTGTCATAAAGTGATGGGACCGGATGGCATAATCTTATTTTTCTGAGTGTGGAGATTTCAGCCAACTTTTTCACTCACCTCTTTCACTTTCATCAAGAGGCTCTTTAGTTCTTCTTTACTTTCTGCCATAAGGGTGGTGTCATCTGCATATCTGAGGTTATTGATATTTCCCCCAGCAATCTTGATTCCAGCTAGTGCTTCATCCAGTCCAGCATTTCTCATGATGTACTCTGCATATAAGTTAAATAAACAGTGACAATATGCAGCCTTGAGGTACTCCTTTTCCTATTTGGAACTAGTCTGTTGTTCCATGTCCAGGTCTAACTGTTGCTTCCTGACCTGCATACAGGTTTCTCGAGAGGCAGGTCAGGTGGTCTGGTATTCCCATCTCTTTCAGAGTTTTCCACAGTTTCTTATGATCCACACAGTCAAAGGCTTTGGCATAGTCAATAAAGAAGAAATAGATGTTTTTCTGCTTTTGCTTTTTCGATGATCCAGTGTGTGTTGGCAATTTGATCTCTGGTTCCTCTGCCTTTTCTAAAACCAGATTGAACATATGGAAGTTCACGGTTCATGTATTGCGGAGGCCTGGCTTGGCGAATTTTATGCATTACTTTAATAGCCTGTGAGATGAGTGCTATTGTGCAGTAGTTTGAGCATTCTTTGGCATTGCCTTTCTTTGGGATTGGAATGATCACTGACCTTTTCCAGTCCTGTGGCCACTGTTGAGTTTTCCAAATTTGCTGGCATATTGAGTGCAGCATTTTCACAGTGTCATCTTCCAGGATTTGAAATAGCTCAACTGGAATTCCATCAATTCAACTCACATTGTTCATAGTGATGCTTCCTAAAGCCCACTTTACTTCACATTCCAGATTAAAAAATAACACTCCTCAGTGAAAGGAAGTGTTAAAGCCTGCAACTCGGAACCCTTTGCTCAGTCAATTGAAAAAGCCTGCACAAGAGTGACTCTGGTCTATGTCACAGTGGAGCAGACTCAAATGCTGACTCGCACAAGCTGAATTTGTATTCTGACACATGTTTTTGGGGGGAAGGAATAGGCAGAGATGAAGAGATGAGAGAGTAAGGCTGCCCCAAACCACAATGTGGAGTTTTCAGCCCTAGATTTGAATTCTCTAAATAGTTATATATCTATTCCTTACTTACTCTCTGATCATGCACTTGCTCATTACTTTCTAGAGATTACCTCTTATTCATAGGTAATAACTGAAATACAAGGCATTATTTGGGCTTATAAAAAGGTAATATATGTTAGAGAGTTCAGTACTTTGGCACTGGCCAGCTTTCATGAGCTACTGCATCAGCTTTTTAACTGTTCTCATTGTTTACCTTCTTCTTCCCCTCACCAAGAGCTTTGAACTCGATGTACTAGCTATCTGGATCTCCCAATATTTGCACAGTGGGTACCTATTTATTATCTCGGCCCCCTTCTGTCTAATTGAACCGATGCATGAAATCCCTGTTCCCTCCCTACGAGAGTCTGGCATTCCCTAAGCACTAACCTCTTTTATTTCCTTCACAGTGCTCAACACCACCCGAAATCATTTGTTATCTCATCTCATTGGGATATGTTTTAACGCAGAAACCTGGCAAATGAATAAGTATATCCTTGCTCTTCATATTTAAGGAGAACAGGAAAATAACAACAGCTCCTTGAGAGCAGCAGTTTTGTTATAGCTCTAGCACCAGAGTTGCCCTGATGGCCTGTTCAGTAAATACCTGTTTTTCAAGGGCTGCTATTTTTTTTTTCTTTTTCTCCCCTCTCTTCAAGCCACCAAACACATCTCAGAGCGGTCCTGCAGAGGGTACAAGGTCCAGGCCTGGCTGGAATTTCTGAGGGAAAAAGCCACCAGTGTAGTGGTGGCTGCCGTATTCCAAACCTGAGACGTGATGGGCTTTTGCTTCCATTGCACCGTCCTACTCGTCTCCACTGAGGCCAAGGCCGCTCCCCTGCACCTCTCCGCCTGCAGCCCCCCTTGCCACCAGGCAGGCCAGCTGCTCCCGCTGCCCATCCGGGGCCACCCTGGTGGTCACAGGCTGGCTGTGGGGTGAGCCCCTGGCGCCCGGCGCCTCAGACGCTGATCCCAGTTGACGGCACCTCCGCTGTCTACGCGGCCACTGTCGCTCTCCCGCCTGCGTGACTTGCTCCACTGAGAGCTGGAGGACGACTGCTGGAGCGGCTGGTACTTCTGACTGGCCGCTTTCTGCTCTGGCACTTTTCTGCTCTGGGCGTGGAGGCCAGGAGGTGGGCACAAGCTGGCACAGCCCTGCTCCACCGTTGGCAGCGCCAGTAAACCCCTCCCCCAGTAAGGAGGCCGTTAGTGAGTAACTGACGACCAGCGACCGTTAGTGGCCCCCTCAGCCATTGGTTACTGCCACAGTAAGCCCCGCCCCCTTCCATAAATAAAGGCGCCCACATTCTGACGCATGGAGGCTGGCTCTCTGACAGGTGAGGCTGCCGTTTCCCTGTCAGCTAGCTTTCTGACTAGAGTCTTTATCCCTTGTTCCAACAACTCGTCTCTGGATTCGTTGGCCTGGAGCAACAAGCAGAATGAGCTTGGGCTCCTTAGTCCCAGCCCTGTCCAAGGGAGTAGAACCTGGAGGACTTCCCAGTCTCGCTTCAGAGAAGCCAACATCCAACCATGGAGAACCTTGTATCGGCCATGGTGCGCTGCAGGCACGTGGACTGTGGACACGCTAGTGTTCCGCCCTCGAAGAGTGGACAGCTTTACTAACAAGACTAAAATAGATTTAATAGAAAGATGATTAACACACCAGAGTGACGTCGGACACACCGAGGGGAGGGGCGGGAGGCAGCGCCTGCGCAGAACTTGCCAACATCGGAGGGTTCGGGATCCAACCCCAGGTGGCGGGGCGAAGAGAAGCCTCCTGAGGCCGCAGTGTGCAGCAGGGACAGGAGGCCAACCTGGCTCCCTCTCACTGGTCCTGGGGAAGCTGCTGGAGAAGCCCCAGCCTAAGGCACGCTGCGATAAAGAGAAGGAAAAGGTGGCGGAAGAACAGGCCGAGACAGCCAAGGGCGAGTCTGGAAGCAGACATTGCCAGGTGACTGTGAGACATTCCCCCCACTGTCTGTGGCCCCGGACGGGTTTCTGCTGGAGAAGGGCCTCCCCCAGGCCGCAGCCACCTGGCTGAGAACCTGTCGCTGCCCGTGGCGGAGGTGAAAGTCAAGGAGTGTCTTCCAGGGCGTCCCCGGTGCTCCTCCACCACTTTCTTCAGCCCTCAGAAACCTGTCCAGCTGAGGTTGGTGCTGGGTCTTTGAGCAGGACCACCTCCCATACGAGGAAGCCCACTGCCTATGGTGGGCTGCTGGTGAGCACACACCCAGTGAGGCCCGGCTCCCGGGGGGTTTGGAGGAGAGGTCCTGGGGGTCCCACAGTGGGGAGAAACCGTCTGTTCCCCACCCTGAAGCACAGTCCTTCCCTCCAACCTGGGGACTCCAGCGTATGTCACGGCCACGGCACAGCAGGCAGAGCCTTTGTGTTGGTTACTGTGCTGCAGGTGGTCAGGACAGGGCGGCGAGCTGCATTTTCACGGCTGCCCTTACTCTACGTGCACTTTGACTCTGATTATTGGTAAGCTCAGCCAATAATATTAATGCCAGCTGACATTTATTTAGCACTTACTTTATGCCAGGCATAAACACATAATCCTCACCAAATTGATACTCGCATCCCCATTTTATAGGTGAGAAAAGAGAGGCACAGAGAAGTAACTTGCTCAAGGTCACACAGATAGTAGGCAATAGAGGTAGTACTACATCCAGAATGTCTGCTGGAGAAGGGCCTCCCCACCGCCCGTGAGTACTGATTAGCCAAGGACTGCTCAGGCGCTGGCACTAAAATGATAGTCGGACAGCAAAGCGAGGACCAACATCATCTTTGGTATTCCTCCTTCATCCTCTGGTCCTTTTCCAATTTTACCTCCAGGGGTTGGTTTGTTTGATTTTTTCCATGCCTCTTGGACATGAATCCAGCAGAGTAGACATGGCCTCCTTTTCAAGGGAGTCTGTAGAGCTTTCTGTAGACTCACTGAAAGACATACAGGGTGATGTCTCCTGGGAAGAATCCCAGGAACTGGTATGGAACCCAGAGAAATTTTACCAAAGGATTCTCATAGTCTTTTTTTTAAACTTTTCATTGTGGAAAACTTTCCACAGGCAATAGTAAAAGGCTTCCATAATGAACTTACATGTAACTGTCACTCAACTTCCCTAATGCTCAAATCATAACCAGTCTTATTTTCTGTAGCCCTTTCCATTGCCCGCCTTGATTATTTTTCAATCAATTCCTAGATATTATATCATTTCATCCATAAATATCTCAAAATATATAAATATACAATAATTCTTTCAAAAATACAGCAAGAATACCAATTTTACATCTTAAATAACATTCAAATGTTAAGAAAAAAGAAAAATAGAAATAGCAATAATTAACACTCTAAGAAGGAGTCTGTGTAGTCTTCCAGAAAAATGAATCACTGGCAATAATGTCTACTGGACTTTGGCCTCTGTGCCTTGAACCTCTCATGTAGTAAATCAAATGAGGGAGTTAAGATGATATTTAAGTTTTCACCTAGCTCTGATATTCTAATAGCTTTCATGACTAGGTGGATTATCCTGTACCTATGGGTCTGGGTACTCCTTAACATACCCTTAAAGTTTTTATTAATAACACTGTATTTGATCTATCTCCCCTACAAGAATGTCCACTTGTTATGGGCCAAGAACTTACCTTCTTACTCACTGCTAGATCCTCAGGGTCTAGTGGGCAAATTGTGAAGAGTCTTGTGTGCTGAGCCAAGGAGTTTGAACTTAATCCTGAAAGAATGAAGAGTCGTAGAAGGAATTCACTGAGATAAAATGCATCACCAGAAGTGTCTTTAAGAAGGATAGGATTTGTGGAAGATGAGAGTAGCTAATGGGAGGTCAATTAGGAAGTTATTCGTGTGATCCTGAGCTAAAGGAGCAAGGGCATGAACTAAGGCAATAGATATGAAGGTGGACAGTTTGGAGCTTATGAAAGAGAAGTAGAATTAACTTGGCTTTAAAAGAGACATTCAAACAAAAGACCACTTTGAGAAACCCAAGTATGGCCAATAGAAGGGAACTGTGGACCTCATTCCTGTTCAGACTGAGAGCATTAATTTCCTCTTGGCAAGCTCTGACTCTTGGTGCAACATCAGCCAGCGATCAGGATGCGCTTGGACAGCTGATGAGGGTGAAGCATGGTAAGTAATGCTGATCACCACTCAAAGGTTCAGTGTAGAGTGTTGATGAAGTACACTGAGGATTTGGCCAATCAAATTGCAATTACTACAGTGTCTGCCTACTTGGTAGTTATTCAGGTAACAGAGTCAAATATCTTGAGTGCTTCAGTAAACATGAATTATATAATTTAATATATGATAGAATCCTTAAGCCCACAAACCCAAAGTCCAAAGTTTCTAAGAGGTTCAGTAACTTTCCCACTTTCACTAGGTTAATGGGTAACAGAGCCAGGCTTGGGCACAAGCCAAATGTCTCTGAGAGTTCATGCTTTAAAAACTCATGTGACATACAGCCTACCTACCTACCTAGGTAGATGGCCAGCTAGGTAAAAGATGAATACAACCATTTAATACTGGAGATTACCAAATATAAGAAGAGGAGGCAATAAAATATGAATTTATAACAACTTTTTGTTGTTCAGCCAGAGTCCCTGCCAGGGCATCTAATGCCTGGAGAAGAAAGGATTTGAATTCTGTAGAAACCCTCAGCAATTCAGCTCAAGAACATAAAAAGAGCTCTCTAAAATGAGTTTGAATTTTATCCCAAAAGAGTGAGGAGTCATGGAAGAAATTCAGTGAGAGAGGGTTAAGCTGTTGCCTGAATATCTACCAAGTAGGCAGACAGTGTAGTAGTTGGAATTTGCCTGCCCAAATCCTCACTGTACTTAACAAATAACCTACACTGAAACTGTGAGTGGTGACCAGCATTATTTGTCATGCTTCACCCTCTTCAGCGAATCTAAACCATAGGGTAATGCTTCTGAGCTTTCTTCTAAAGACCACCACAGGATTAATGTTGCAGCAAAAATAGGAATGAACAGCCTTAAGCACAAACCAGCCAAACAGGTCTGCAAGAGTTAAACAATCTAGGTTATTCTTTGGCTGTTGCTACTAACAAACACTTGTAGGCAGACATGTCTTTCGCAAAGCTAATTATTCTCTGACTCCATATGAATTATACTCTGCACCTGGCATTCTTCTCCCCCTGTGCTCCCTTATAGCAGTCTTGTATTTTAAAACAAAAAGGTCACAGGCAGATAATCTGCGAATCACTAGACAGTTACTGAGCCACCTGATGCTAGTTTTGACCATAGATTTTGCAGAAGAAAGGAAGAATGCAAGACGTTCACCACTCTGATCCTTTTCACGTACCCCAGACCATGAACCCTGACTATAAAACCTCTCCCTACTTCCCTGAGAGGAAGGCACAGTTCTTGAGGTGCTAGCCTTCCATGTTCCCTCTTTGCCTGGCAAAGAAATAAAGTTACTCTATGTCTTTTCTCCAAAACTTTGTCTCCATATTTCTGTTCAGCAGCAGTGCCAAGATTTTGCCAACATTAGTAAAGTGAGGCAGGGAGTTAATCATGTTAATAAACTGAGGCATGTGGATATCTCTCATGATGGGAACAGAGTTCAAGTTGAGGATCCTGGCTATGTAAGGCCCCAAGAGTCCTTCAGGTAGGTGACAATGAGAACAGGTGCATCAGGTCAAGAAGGAAAGAGGGGCACCCAGATTTGGAGATGTCTTTTAACAGGAATAATTCTGATAATCTTTTCATGCAGTACCCTCCACAGTTCAAAAGGCGTATACACATATGTGCATTCCACACTCACTCTTTCAGCAACACCGAGGCAGCGATGTCTGGTGTCATTAGGTCTATTGTGTAAGGGGAGAAACTAAGATTTAGAATAAATGGAAAATCCAGGATGCAAAGCCAAGTTTTCAAAATCCAAGATCAGCTAAATATCGGAACAGGTGGCCCCCCAACTCTTGGAGTAAAGAAGTGCAAAGTCCCTAAAGGACAGACCTGAAAAAAAAAAAAAATTAAATGGTCTCAACTGGGAAGCTCAATACCTGCACATTCAACTTAGTCCCCAGTGTTTAAGATTACCATGAGAATGGTCCTTAATCCAACAGCCCTTAAAAATAAATCCCCCATTTTTAGCAAAAGCAAAATAACACTTTG